AGCTCTATTTGGGGTAAGACCTACGGGATCCACTGAAAGTAAAATAATACACGATTTGGACAAGAACAGAGCTAATATAAGGGATGAAATTAACACTCATATTGAAGCATGCCAACAAAATCAAAAGGAATCATTCGATAAGCACCGTTGTATCCCTCCGAAATATAATGTAGGGGATTTGGTAAGAGTGGAACGCCAAGTACCTGCAACAGGACAGAGCAAAAAACTTGTGCCTAAGTTTCAGGGACCTTATAGAATCGCATCTATTTTAGACCATGATCGCTTTGCCATAGAAGACACGCCATTGACTTCAAAGAGAGGAAGAAGCTTCTCGACTATCGTAGCTATTGATAAAATCAAACCATGGCTTAATTTCAATAGACCACACGTGAGTGGGACATACTCCAGTGAATCTGACGATGAGGAATCTCGTGAGTAATGAACTAAGAATGTTTTATCTATGTATTTTATTTAAATTTTGGCTGAATATACAATTACGAAATATAGTTAATAAATAATATAATTAAATATAATGATTAAATTGATTAAATATAATAAATACTCTTCCGTTGTTAAGATAATTGATTTAGTTATGTAGTAATGAACTTGTGTGAAATTAGTATCATTATACATACAACCTTTCTATCTTTATAGGTTATTTAACTTAAAATATAATTTTGTGATTTTATATAATATATTATTGGTCAAAATGCGTTGTTATAATTTTTGCATAAATTGCAGTTTATTGAAATGTTTACTGTCGGAGAGCATTTTTTTTCGAGTATTCAGGATTACAAGGGGCCTGTTACTTGGTATTCAGGACGTAAGGGGCCTGTTGCCATGTATTCAGGACTACAAGGGGTCTGTTACTTGGTATTCAGGACATAAGGGGCCTGTTGCCTTGTATTCAGGACTAAAAGGGGCCTGTTACTTGGTATTCAGGACGTAAGGGGCCTGTTGCCATGTATTCAGGACAAAAAGGGGCCTGTTACTTGGTATTCAGGACGTAAGGGGCCTGTTGCCATGTATTCAGGACTAAAAGGGGCCTGTTACTTGGTATTCAGGACGTAAGGGGCCTGTTGCCTTGTATTCAGGACAGAATTGTTTAAAATGTAGTAATTAATCAAGTTTACTTATGAATGTTTTTTTTATGTTTTTCTTGTATTTTGTCTTTGATTCTTACAATGAGTTATTTTGTTTAAATCTCGTATGAGGTCATACGATTCTATTCGGATGGCCGACTGTCATCAACATTGTTATTTTTAGTAATATTTAGTTACTCATATTGTTATTTAACGATAATTAAGATATTATATTGACTACACGCACATACCTAATCATAGATGGCAGTGCTTGTGAATGCATAAATAGGGGGTATATGCTGTCAAGAGGACAGTCTCTCACTGAACGCCAAAGAGACAAGTGTCAACTCAAAGTGGAAGTGTTGTATAGTGATTATTTAATAAAACAGTGTATTTGTGCATTGGAGGTGTAGTGCTTAAGTGTTGTGTAGTGCATAAGCGTTGTTTCGCAACCTGTGAAGTGTCAGTGTAAAAAGTGAGACAAAACGAAAGAATAGTTGTGAGTATTATGTTAATATATATATAAAAGTGAGTATATTTATAGTTTTATTTACATCCTTAATTTTAACACCGATGAGTAAATAGGGCCTAATCCTGCACATTAATGCCCAGTTTTAATTAAAAGCTAATGCAAGAATCACTTATAAGTTTTAAAGTACCTCGTTAACCCGGATCAGAATTTGTACCAATTTTGTCATTAATATTTTAATTCGCTATTCGTCTATCTCAGTTGCATATTTTAATTAAAAGTTACTGCCCTTATCATAAGTGATTTGAAACAAAACAGGCCAATTAAGTTGTATTCAGCCCTTTTTAACGTCCTACTCCTGGGGGTGGGCCTCCTTTCAATACGAGGAGGATCAGGCCATAGTCCACCACGCTGGCCAAATGTGGGTTGGCGGACTGCACATGTCTTTCGAAAACTTGTTAGTTACTCTAAGTCATGCAGGTTTCCTCACGATGTTTTCGTTCACCGTAAGCCAAGTGGTAATCATGTTGTAAATGAACTTAACGCACATGAAATTATTATCACCGGTGCGAGACCCGAGATTTGAACCCGCTTCACTCGGTCTCCCAAGCGAGCGTGTTATCACTGCCTTATTAACCGGCACCGACTCCGAAAATATCTGTTTAGCTGATATCTATTCTAAATGAAAACCCCCGTTTAGTTATTTTTCACATTTTAGTGCATGGAAGTCGGTTTTTTTTAAGTTTTTATTTTTCCCTATTTAGTGTAGACGTAATAAGCAGGTAATTTGTAAAAAAAGATTTTTAATAGCATATTCAATTAAGCAATTTATTTAAAACAATAATTCATTTTTGATTTTTTAAAAACCTGTTCGACCGATTTCGATAAAATTTAAATGGGACTACATGGGAAATATACCCTTCCAAATAAAAAAATCCAAATCGGTTTAGGCGTCTTCGAGTAATCGGTGATCATACATAAACAAAAGATTCCGACGAATTGAGGACCTCCTCGTTTTTGAAAGTCGGTTAAAAATAATTGTTTGCTTAATTTTATTTAATGTATGTCTTAAAAATAAGGATATTAATAAGGAAAATAATATTTATCCTGTAACAGATTGAACGACTGAAAGTGATCACTTTTTAATTTAATAATTTTTAAAATTCTCGGGCTTTATAATTAATTATAAATACAGTCTATAAGGCAGACGTTGCCCAGTAGTAACGCGCTGACTAAGAAAACGGAGTGACGCGGGTTCAAATCCCGAGTCTGGCACCATGAAATATGAATTTTGTGTGCGAATCATTTCTAACATTATTCCCACTTACTGTGAAAGAAAACGTCATGATTTACAAGTCTGAGAGAACTTAGCAAGTTTTCGAAAAACATGTGAAGTCCGCGAACCCGGACTTGTCCAGTATGGTGTACTATGGTCTGATCCGTGTCTAGCAAAGTTAGTCTAGTCAAAGGTAGTCTAGTTAAAGTGGGAAGTTAATTGCTAAATACGATACAGTCTATATATATAGTACTTGATTTATTTATTAATTATTTCTAAATAATCTATATTTATAATTTTAATATATTGTAACTTAAAACTTTTTCGTCAAATAAAAAGCAATGTTGATCCAAAGAAACATATTTTCGATATTTAGAATTGTCGAAAATAACCGTAAGATCTAACCCGTTTTAGGCGTCTATAAATCTTTTACTTTCAACCTAGAAACCTTACTGTATATCAAGCTCGATGACAGATTTGACGTAGACATGATAGGTGAGAAGTTTAAGGCGGAAGTGAAGCTAAACGTAGCTTCCGCATTAGCCTTCTGGATAGATATTTTGAGCCCTAAACTCCTACTACTCATAGTTGTGTATGTAAAATTCTATGCAGATATGGTATGGTTCAAGGTTTTATGACCCCATGTTAAAAATATTAAAAGATAGGTATGCAACAATAGCTAGATTGAAACATTGTCAATATGTTAGTTTTTGGATGTTAGTTGTTCATATTTAGGGTGCTATTAGAGTACGTACTGAAAATAATTTGAGTAGCTATAAAGAGAATATACTCGTAATGTTGACAATTTATTGTTTAAAATTGTAAGTATTTAATGAATTTATTTATTCATCAAATATAGAGGATACATCGTCATAGCTTTTATAATGATTTATTCTGTCTGTTTCGTTTTTGTGGCTTTACAATAGGTATTTTTTTAATTTGGCTATTAATAATAACTTTCATTGATTTTGAAAGTATAAAACATATAATTATTGATATTATTATATCTTTTACCTACTAATGCTTAATCATTATATATTATAAAAATAAATCTCACGAGTTTTAATGATATGAAAGGGAAAGACTCATTTACTTTTTCTCCTTAGAAATAATAGTATATTGAACAGGCATAAGATTAATAGTTTATTTCATTTCTGAACTTCAGCTCTGTTTAACATTACGTAATCTTTAAACACCAAAGTTTATGCGAAACTGACCAAAATCTTACACTGCAGTTTAAATTACGTGCAAACTCGCTAAGTTATCTTAAGTTTCCTGATTCTAGTAGCAATTTACGGAGAAAATGTATTCGAATATACCATCTAGTAATAAGATGGATACTTTAAAGTTTGAGCTTATGGTTTCATAAACATTTAATAATACATTTAATCAGTTATATATGTTCTATAAATAATAAAGAAGCTATTTATTATAATATACGTATGCCAATAGATAAAAGATAAGTGCTGAAAAATATACCATAACGTTGCATCCCTTCCTTCAATTCTCAACATTATATAGGTACCCCTCTATAAAAGGGTACCTCTCGAGATTTAAAAACATGATATCGTAAGAACGCTTTACCGATAACTCGTAATATTTTTGGCATTAATTTATACTCAAGGGATATTCTGAACGATCGTTTGTAACGAAATAATATTTTTTTCACGAGTTCTTTCATTTTAAGCACTGACATATAACTGGGTAACAATTTATAGGCACCATTATTCACTTTGTGGAGACGTTAGTGACATTTATACTTTCCGAACTTTTACCACTCCTAAAAGAGATTATTTTTAGTTGTGTTTTACGTATTTTACATATGTACAATTTTTTTAACATACTCCTATTTTTTTAAGAAATTTTAAATTAAAATGTATTCAGAAATTTACATAGGTAGGTATATATTTTTTGTATGGGAATTCAACATTTAATATATCGTACTCGTTATAAACAATAAATTTAATAATATACCTAATTCATTTAACAGTTTTTACATTTACTCGTAGGCAATAAACCCTTTGAAACCACGTAACTTGACTTACAAAATTGAATTAAATTATTCCAATAAAAATGGCATATTTGAACTCTATATGAATTGAATATAATAACAACATTAATTATGTACAAGTGTCAGTGAGATGTGATTGTGCTGGTGATTATGAGCACATGGATGGCGCTGTTTGGGCTAGTGTGGCTGCTCCGAGTGCGCGGATCTTTATGTGGGTGCACAGCTTGCAAACGTGCCAGGCTGGAAACTCAAGATGTGCAGTGCAGGAGAGCTTCGAGGATCTCCAGTACCCCATGTCTGGAGGAGCATGCGACAGGAACAGAGTGCGCACCCAGCCCTGATGAACGTGCCCCTTTTGATGTTATTGCACTTCAGCAGTATACACGCGATGCTACTGTGCAGACGGACTTTGATGATGACGAATTAGAAGACTTAGACAAAATCGAACTGCAAATTAAGGAAGAATGTAAGTTTTAACATATTTTTTTAGTAAACATTTTATTAATATTGATAACAAAACATGTAGACCAGAGTCGATAATTTTTAAAACCAAAAAAAATAATAGTAGGATGAAACCCATTAGAAAAGGAGGGGAATATTATAAAAATGAAAGGAAATATAATTTACGGGCGATCTGAGGTTGGGAAGGGGATGGGGGTGAGCTTTTAAGGGTAAAAAACGGTTTTTCTCGATTTCCGACAAAACTAAAAGTCCTATCGAAAAAAGTCAAATAGCAAAGTTGTAGGTAATAAAAAGATCTAAAACTTTTGTATTTACACTTTTTTCACATAACCTCAAAATTTATGTGAAAAATTCAAAAAACCAAGTTTTTGGTTTTTTATTTTTCTTTTACAAAAAAAAAAAATAACGAAATTTGGTGAAAACTTACCTTTTTATGTCCCAAAATACGCTGTAATTTATTTGATTAAAAATATTTCTTTTTTTACCTTATTAATATCGAAAAAGCACCCTAATTTTCAATCGAAAATTCACCCGTCAAAATATCAGCTTTTTTCAAAAAGTTGGTATGTTTTCTGTTCGTTGAAATCTCTACTTTCCGATGGTGAAAAAAAATATATGTTACTATAGTAAAGCTTCTGAGAAAATGCAAAAAACAAAAAACCTTTTTTATTTCTTATACTTGCTTATCGTCTGCCTTATTGCAGATGATACAAACAGATTCATCCATACTGATAATCTGAAACGACAAAATCGAATTAATAATGCCTTTACTATTTTATCGTGAGTATACATACCCCCATGAAAAAAAAATATTAAAGAAATAAATGTCAAAATGTATAAAAATTATATTATAAATATATTAAAAATCTATAATAAAATATATGAAATATACATGAAAATCGGCCAAAAGTTAGTTATTAAAAATATATTTACTGTACATATTTTTTATATATTTATACATTTATTGTAGATTTTTAATATATTTATAATATATTTTTTATACATTTTGACATTTATTTCTTTAATATATTTTTTTCATGGGGGTATGTATACTCACGATAAAATAGTGAAGGCATTATTAATTCGATTTTGTCTTTTCAGATTATCAGTATGGATGAATCTGTTTGTATCATCTGCAATAAGGCAGATGATAAGCAAGTGTATGAAATAAAAAAGGTTTTTTGTTTTTTGCATTTTCTCAGAAGCTTTACTATAGTAACATATATATTTTTTTCACCATTGGAAAGTAGAGATTTCAACAAACAGAAAACATACCAACTTTTTGAAAAAAGCTGATATTTTGACGGGTGAATTTTCGATTGAAAATTAGGGTGCTTTTTCGATATTAATTCAAAATAAGGTGAAAAAATAAATATTTTTAATCAAATAAATTAGAGCGTATTTGGGACATAAAAAGGTAAGTTTTCACCAAATTTCGTGAATTTTTTTTTGTAAAAGATAAAAATCAAAAATCAAAAACTTGGTTTTTTGAATTTTTCACATAAATTTTGAGGTTATGTGAAAAAAGTGAAAATACAAAAGTCTTAGATCTTTTTATTACCTATAACTTTGCCATTTTACTTTTTTCGATAGGACTTTTAGTTTTGCCGGAAATCGAGAAAAACCGTTTTTTACCCTTAAAAACTCACCCCCATCCCCTTCCCGACCTCAGATCGCCCGTAAATTATTTTTCCTTTCATTAATTATATATTGCTGAATGCGCAGGAAATAGGTAATAAAGGGTAATAGTGTGGGCGTATAAAAAGTTGACTCGGATAAGTGGTCAGAACTATGTTTGTTGCTCCACTTAGTAACAATACAAAAAAAATGAGTGCGTGTAATCTTTACGCGTGGTTTAAGTAAAACTTCTTTGGTGCTGTGGCAGATACCGCAATGATATTAAAACTATTTTTTTTTTTCATTTAAAATAAATTTGACTCTCAATTCCGTGACTCTGACTTCCGCGATACTCATTTTTCCAATGTATTGATTGCTTATCTGTCAGTCACGTGTAAAGAAGTTTTACTTCAAAAATAGGTTGCTATATATAATATTTTATCCGAATATCAAGTTCCTAGCACGTTCATCTTTTTCTATTACTAATAATAATCCGCGGAAAAATTACATATTTCTTTTGAAGTGAAAATTCTTTAGAATCGTTATGATTTGAAACTCGATGAAACGGAAATGCGGCACGAGAAAGAGACGAACACATTACACAGGAAGTCAAAAATAATACTGAATAGATTTCTTCTTCTGAGTCGCTACTAGAGTCTTGCCTTTTTTCCTTTTTTTCTACAGGCTCCGCTTCCAGGACATACTGAGTGCTCTGTTCCAGAGAATTCTCCATCATTTCCTCCTGATTTTCGTTTAAGGCCACAATTTTCGCAAGATCGTGATCTTCGTTGAACGTAATCTGTGATTCTTCGTTGTTCATCATTTTTCTTGTTGCATATTAAAAATTCCTTTAGTGAGTCAATCTTAACAACTCCAAAATTCTCTTCATTCATTCTTCTCTTCTTCTTCTTAGTAGCGACATTTTTAATATTTATGTAAGTGCAAAGTAAAAACAATACATAATAAAATTCAAGTTTACACCAAACATTAAAGTTATGACCATACAATGCCTATATCCATGTGTACAGCTACCTAACGACAATCCTTCAAGCGCATATTAGATTACTTTATACAATTTCAATTGTAATGTGATATTGTCTACTGAACTAATCGATATCTTTTCGCAAAACTTTGCAGTTTTAATTCAGGCCACAGCGTAACATGTATGTACTGTGTAGTCCTTATTATGTCTTCATTAGTACTTATTACGTATCCTTCATACAAGTCGATATCTAATTTTCCTTTTTAATGAAGTTTAAGAAGAAGATTATATATATATATATATATATATATATATATATATATATTTATATATTGACTAAATAAACACTCAATTTATCTTTTTAAAACTGTAAATGTAAGCCTCCGGTTTAATTTGTTACCTGTTTATGAAGTCATACGTTTAAGATATTTAGAGAATTAATTTTATTGAAAAGTATTAATACCAAGTTTCAAGTAATATTTTTTTGGATTGTATTATAACGTGTTTTACCGTGGGAATTAATCTCCCGTGGTAAAAAGTGGACGTTCGACGTGAAAGAAGGACAAATAAAAAAACAAACACACTTTCATATTTATAATATTAGTATGGATTTATCGATTACTGTAAATTTCTATTAGGTATACCGTATATGTAATTTTGCAGTGAGCTTAATTTTTTCCAGAGTCAAATTATATCCTAAATGGTAATTTTGTTTTTTATTATTAGTCTGAATAAGTTATATCCAACTCAATATTTTTATGTTTGCATGATAATTTCATATATCTTCAGTGCCGTGAAAACTAAATTCTGTTTGTGAAAATAAGTAGTACTGTCTCTATTAATCCAACCAATAGTATTACAATCAAAACCGTGTCAGCTTCTACAAACTTCTATTCTCTATATATACTTAGCGACTAGCTAAGGAATCTTTAATCGTTATTTTGAAATCAAATTCAAATTTCTAAGAATTGAACTGAAAATTTACGAATTGTTATTAAACGTGCGTTTCTTATAAAAATAATGTTCAGACAAAAAGATTTTAGCTCAATCCAGTAAAATATATTTTCCAATATGCAATGTTTATGATTCTTGAACTAAGGGGTCGAGAATCATAAACCCTCAATTTATTTGGCAATATATACATTATTACCAAGTAAAAACTAGGCATGACCACATATTTTGTTTAAAAATATTGGTTCCCATACTTTCAAATCCCTTTTTACTTTCATTCTTATTTAAAATGTAAAAATAATTATGTAGTTGATATCGTTATTATTTATTACTCGATAGTATTTTAATCATTTTAATATATATATATACACACATAGTATTCGCATGATGTTCTAACTGAATATTATTAATTCTCCTACGAGTTTAAAAATAGAAGAATGGTTAAATCCTAAGAATAACTGACAAAATCCACTTGATTTTTTTAACAGTTTATTCTTTTTTTCCCGACTCAAAATAACAATAAGTATATAAATAAAATAATACAAAATTTACGTTACATATATCATTATATACTATAGAAGTCCCTTTCAACATGTAATTTTCTACTTATATATTTGATCAAAACTTTATTATATTATATTAATCTATGTAATGTCGAAACTTACTTCCTTTTGTCTTTTGTTAACGAATTTTGGAATATGGATAATTTATTGACTTATTACGTTTTATTGCAAATGACTAACGAAATGACAAAAATGCTTACAATGTAAGAAAGGATTAAATGAATTTATGTTAATTATTATATATTTTTTATTACATTATGTTTTCAAATTCAGTGGTCTAGTGGCTATAGCATGTTTGGCTGCAGTCCTGGGTTCGAATCTTGGGTCGGGCTAAGTTTAGTTACTGAGTTTGTTTTATTCCTTTTCCTGGTAGAACATGTTAAGCTTTTGGTCCTTTGTCTTATTTCTCACCTTCGTGTTAAATTATCATCCCAGCGGAATTTAAGAGTGAAAGGAATAGAGAGTGCATTTTTAACTGTGAACTATTCTAATAGCTCCTGCATAGTTGGCATGTCTCAATGAGATTGGCCGCCATGGCTGAAATCAGTCAGTAGGGCATATTATAGAACAATTTATCTTTTTAAAAGAAAAAAGGAATATGAAGATATTAAAACAATTTTGAACAACAAACGATCAATTCTTTTTTTTAATGCTGGAAAATGCATTAAGACCTGTAGACATACGTACTGGTGGTTATGTGGGACTCACCGGCTACAAAAGCCTAATAAGTACTACCCACTAAAACCCAACAAAACAATCAGGGTAATAAATCAATTCTACCCTAACACCCAATACAAAAAAGAAGTTTCTAAAGTAAAACAAAAGAATATAATAAAGGCTACTGCTATTGATAAATATAAATAAATATGTTGGGACATTAACACACAGCACCATCTAGTTCCATGGTAAGCTACGAGGCTTGTGTTATGTATACCAGATAGTTGATACACTACACATATATAACTTTTAAATACATAAATATTATAAATATAAACACCCATGACTGGAGTACAAACATTCGTGCTCATCACACAAATAAATGCCCCCAGCGGGACTCAAACCCGCGACCGCAGGCACAGCAAGTAGGACCACTACAAACTGAGCCAAACCTGTCGTCAAACATGTAATACATCAATTCTATACATCGTACTTATTAAATTATAGTTATTTAATGTCAACGAATATATATTTTAATTCCATATATCTGGTAAAGAATATCATAAAATTTCTTTTTACATTTTCATGATTAAGCTGCATGTCGGTATGCAGTCATGTTTTGTCACAGACGAAAGTGCATTTTTTTCCACCTACTTTTTAATATCAATAAAGTAGTTCTATATGTAAATAATATTTTATATTAAAAACATTTGTAAGCGATGCTTCTGACGTGATATGTCAGAGAACAAGTTGAATTAGAATAAAATGAAAGAGCTGAAGTGCTCCGAAGACAGTGCTTTATTTCCCTAGAGAGCACAAAGTGACCGACAGATATCGATCACAAGAAATGAAAGCATGCACAGAATAACAATTTTTCAGGAATATATCTATTTTAAAAATATATTAAGCAATATTAAATTCCTAAAGCTATTTACTTTTACCATTTTTCATATATTTTGATAAATTTGATATTTATTTTATTTGGAAATCCTATTTGAAATAGAAGCAAAAAATAAAGTAACTTTATTATTGTATGAATACTAGAACTTTTTGTTATAATATTTTGTGAAAATATAATTTGAATTACATATAAAATTATTTAGTGCTACTTGACGTAAAATTTACCATATAATCTGTAAAAAAATGTAAAAAAATATTTTTAATATAAATTAACAGACAGACGTAGTAGTGTAGTCACGGGAGAGACTGAGGTGTTAGATGTATCGAAGGTATAGTTATTACAGACAGCCACAAATAACAAAATGAAAAATATTGTAAGGTACTTGGTGTAAATAATATAATGAAGCGCCATATAAATTATAATTTAACCATGAATCAATATACTACAGAAGAACCAATATGTTGAGAAATATTTGAGTAACCTGAAAGATATCTCTTCATTGTGGCCGTTATGTGGTCGTGCAAATTTGACACAACCCTAGCAAAATATATAAAAAGTATTTAATACGCACACTAAATTAAATTACATTACATAAAGCCGAGGGTTTGCAAGCATGGCGTATGCGATCAAAGCTTTCAAACAGATTACGTCACTTTCAATGCTATCAGGTGATACCACATCAAAGATCAGATATATACTGTTTGGGAAATTGATAAGAATCAGTTCCTCCTTCTAATACGGTATATGACTTTGGATATATATTCCAGATTATATCCAGAACCAACTATAAGAAGTTAGGAAAAAAACTCACTCATGGTTAGTCCAATTATCATCATTAGTATTTAAAAAGACGTAGTGCAGACCAGGCCTTCTTCTTCAATCCATAAAAAGCAGGCCAGAAAATTTTGACAATTATTTGTATGTTCTATATTAAAAAAAAGAAAAACAATTTATTTATTAAGAAAAGCTGATGATGTCAAAAATACACATTAGAATAACTTAAAAATGATACTAAGCATAGTTTATACTTTATTAAACAAAATCGCTAGTACTTTCGCAAACATGACAATTTGGGGAAGTTCCAAAGACGAGAAGCTGTTATAGTAAAAGAGTATTTTATTTTTTTAAAACGGTTCTCATAACAATGAAAATGGTTTATTTCACATAATATGCATATCCATAATATACCTATACATGACTTAAATTTCTTTTAAATTTTTTGCCATGTCGTGAAAACTACCCTTGACTATTAAAATGAAATGAAATAAACTTTGTTCAGTTAGACTTATTACAAGTGATTTTGAATCGTCAATTTAATGAAAGCGTCAGTGTAGTCAGTCCGTGAGGAAGCTACCACCGGATTTGGATTCAATTATACATATCTATAAGCTTATGGCCATGGGATTAACTTATACATATACGTTATTATGTATCTTGTGTACTTTTTTTGTACAGTATTTTCGGAGGAAAGAGGTTGTGACAGACTACCAGACATCAGTCCGTCTGATCATATCATTATAACCTCTTTTGTAGGATCGAAATATAGGTGAAAGTAACTTTTTAAAGTGACTGTTTGTTCTTTTAGGCACACTTAAAAATGTACATGTAACACATGTAATGTATGGCTTGGATAGCCACTTTTTATATTAATATTTCGATAATTCACAGTTTTCGATAGGTAGGTACTATATTTTTAATAAATATTATGGTCTCGTTGTGCTGTTTTTAAATTTGATAATTAACCGCATTACTTTGCAATATAATATTAACATGTTATGTTAAGTTTAACCTGTAGTGCAAACTTTTTCGCCAATGTAATATTTTATATACTGAATCAAATATAATATATTTTTTGTTTTAAATATTTTATATCATATCTCACCTTTTTTCCTATTCACTATATATCAAATTCGCAAACTATTATTCAGTATTATTTAGAATACTATTCATATCAGCTTGATTTACTTGAATGAAGTACTTACAATATTTCTTATTATTTAAATCAGAATTTACACGACAGACGAAAAATGAACGTTTCTGTTTTGTGACATCTTTTCTATTTACAGCGAACGTGAGCAACTACGAAAGCGGGCGTGAACAATTGACATTAAGTCCGGAAACGGAGCAAATAGTCACAGGAAGTTACCAGGTACTTACTACTGCGATTCTGTCACTTATTACTTAGTATTGTGTATTGTACAAAAAGTCTTTATATTTTATTTGTTTCAAATTTTATTTATTTGATTCTTAGTAAAGACGTTTGAATTACATAAATGTAATTATAACAATTTTTTTATACTGTGTATTTATGTAGGTACAAGGTATTATAAAATGTAGATCTTATAAAAAATATATATAAAATAATTGTATGTAAAAATTGTATTTAAGTTTTATCTTTAAATTATTTGATATAAATAATATTATAGTCATCTTGTTCATTTATTTAACTTGTCTGGACGTTATTTAGCTAACTCATTCGCAAATAAGGCAATAAATACGCTAGTAAAGCAATTAATTTTTATCGCCAAATAGCTGTTTACGGAACAAATGAATTATGTGTTCAGTTAGCTCATTCGATGTTTTGCTCTTTTATTAAGCAACCTCGTGTAAAGAATTTCTATATTTTTTTATTACAGATTTTTTTATGAAATATATTGCGAGATATTCATCATAAGCTACCTTTTTGCAGGCAGGAAAATAAAATAGATATATCTACTAAAAAAAACTTTTTCACAAAGTGAAGCATAGTCAGTACTATCGAAGTATTTCACAACACACTCCCTGGCTCCATAATCAGCTAAATATTATCAAATTATTAAATTTTCGGTGTAATCAAAATTTTAAATGGAAATAACTAGTTATAAGAAAGATTGGATGAAAAAATTCATTGTCTATTTTTTTACTTTTATTAAAAAATTACAAATTATGATTGGCTAAGCGGATGTTTTTTTTTTAAATAAAATAATTTGTAGGTATTGGAGTAATCAATACCAACTAAATCAAAGCCAAAGCCAGAGGAATTATAATACTTTAGTAATTAGGTCTTGAAACGACATGAAATGAAATAAACTTCATTCAATTAGACTTATTACAAGTGCTTTTGAATCGTCAATTTATTGTAAGCGTCAGTGTAGTCAGTCCGTGAGGAAGCTACCACTGGCTCGGAAAGCAGTTCTGCTGAGAAGAGCCGGCAAGAAACTCACATGAGATAGTATCTACCTGTACGTTCTTCGCAGTACGACTAATATTTGGTACGCCTTAGAAGGTCTCCTTTGTGAGACCCTCATCTCACTGAAAGAGGATTAAGCCTAGATAGATAGATGGATTCAATTATACGCAAAGTGTTTCCTTTAAATTGTGCAACATACGGGACTTCTAAGATATCTACATATGTACTAATTTATGTATACTATCATCATACTACACTCATCTACTTACAAAAATATATTTTTTATCACAATTTCCTTAATAGTCTATAACACGTTTTTAATAGTTTTGTAATACTGTTAGATTGAAAATTTAAGTTGATATATCGTTATAGAAAGCTTGCAGTTGAATTCTTTCTAAATATTAAGTCTCAATATAAAATTATAAATAAATCAACTTCAGCATTCCGCGCTGTAAGTTAATATTTGAGGCGGAACTAGAAATTACACATAAGAATATATAGATACAAAGAGTGAACGAAGATATCGTAGAAGTAAAAAGTATTGGCGTAATAAAAATATAATTGAAGAATATTCCTTAACTATATTATTACAGATTTTCATTTCGAGTCGTAATAATAATGAATCATTGTCGGTCACAGTATCTAATGCAACACAGTACATCGAATCCCGATGATGTTTGGGAAACGACAGATGTGACATTAGAGCGGGCTGCGGGCGGTCTGGGTCTCAGTATAGCCGGCAGCGAGAGTGGTGGTGACATCAGCATAACTAGAATAGCACCTAATGGCGCAGCTAAAAGCGATGGTAGACTTCAAACTGGAGATATTCTCTTACAGGTAACTAAACAAATACACGTATTATTTTAAATTTTCTTAAGTGTATTTATTTTTCATTCGTCTATATTATAAATTAGCATCTATCTCTCTGAATCTGTGGTTGTTCGATCTAATCGTAGAAACTACTACTGTATGGGTTTTCATAAGGTTTTGAATAAAGTAACTAACATAAAGAGAGATTAATTAGAAACGTTATACCTTCCTAGTACAGGCTGTAATTTATTAAAAAAATGCAAAAATAAAAATCTTAAAAAATTAAATAAAACCGGAGTTCCAGACACTAAAATGTAAAAAATAACTAAACGGGGGTTTTCATTTAGAATAGATACCTAATCGGATACTTTCGAAGTCGGTGCACCTCGATCCCCGTTTAGTTATTTTTTTACATTTTAGTGCCTGGAAGTCGTTTTTCTTTTAGTTTTTTTTTTCCATTTTTAGTGTAGATGTAATAAGCAGGTAATTTTTATAAGAAAGTTTTTTAATAACATATTTGAATAAACAATTTATTAAAAAAAAATTTTATTCTTGATTTGTTGGTTGGTTGTTTGTTGGTTGATTTGTTGGTTTAGGCGTCTTTGAGTAATCGGTGAACATACATAAAAAAAAAACAAAGATTCCGACGAATTAAGAAGCTCCTCCTTTTTGGAAGTCGACTAATAAGCTACCGATATAATGATTGTGCATTAATATAAAGAATGTTGTCTCTTTTGAGAGCTCTCGTAGTATTATAAATGTGATGGACATTTAAGAACGCTAGTACATGATATTTGACGACACGTTTGGCTCAGTTTATAGTGACCCTACTTGCTGTGCCAGCGGTCGCGGGTTTGAGTCCCGCTGGGGGCATTTATTTGTGTGATGGGCACGAATGTTTGTACTCCAGTCATGGATGTTAATATTTATAATATGTATGTATTTAAAAGTTATATGTGTGTAGTGTATCAACTATCTGGTATCCATAACACAAGCCTCGTAGCTTACCATGGAACTAGATGGTGCTGTGTGTTAATGCCCCAACATATTTATTTATTTATTATTGAGATTGGGTCTCTTATATACATTTTATATATTACTTTATTGTATACCACAGTAATGACACAAAAATAGCAAAAACAAAATATCAACAATCACAAAAGTATTCCCAAAAGGCGGTCTTATCGCTAATTAGTGATTTCTTTCATACAACCTTTGGGTTAGGAAATATGAAAGGCTATATATTATACAGATTCGGTGATGTTATATCCATTATGTACCACAATACAACTTTATTTATGATATTTTGGCAATTATCCTAGACCGATTGTGAATTATTTAGAAATACACTTCTTTTGATAAATGAACACTATAAAGTAAAGCAAATTGCTTAAATAGTATTCAGCAAATCTATTGATAGAAACAAAAAATTTGTCAGATGCAAATTATTCAGTTCCTTCAACGGAATAGTCACGGCATTTTATACCTATTCTAACATATCCTATTTAAATATTCAGTACGCGTGTCAGGATGTCAATCCCGCTGCGGATATGTTCTATTATTTAGTGAGGGATGTGCGTGCGTGTTGTATTTATTAGATTGTTTAATACATTTTTTAATTTATCATAAATAGTAAAAACACTTGTTCACCTTACAACAAAAATGAAAATCTCATATTAAATTATTATTATTAGGTACATTTCATTTTTTTATTAATTACTAGCGACACAGTTACATTTTAACGGTAAGTATAGAATGGACTATATATACATATATGTTCTTTGTACAATGTACATACATGGGTATAGAAAAGTAGGTCAGTATCATAAAAAATAAAAAATATGGATCAAGGGATCCTTGAAATTATTGATTTTCCATTCAATCTTTAACCCCCCTTTTACCACCATATACATGACATGTTTTCCGAGATTAAAACTATCCCGTCATTCCCACAGCTTCAAAATATTTCCATACCAAATTTCGTTGAAATCGGTTCTTTACTTTTTGCGTGAAACGCGCATACACAAATATACATACAGACAAACAGACATTTTTTTTAATAACTATTGTTTTGGGGTCTATATTGTGTACATAATACGTTCTTTTTTAATATTTCATATACAGATCTTGTTACTAGTTGTTGTTGTTTGAAGTTACTATTTTATTATAGTACAGATTATAAGTACCTGTTACATAATAAAAAAACTCAATGATTTGCAACGCGCTACGGTCATAAATATTAATAAGCTTTTTCTCGTAGTTTAAATGCCGCTATAAAACTCTCTTAAGTCAAATTTCGAAACTTTCTCTCTGACGCGGTAAGAAATTTTGTTTAAAATTGCACGCTTTATTTTAAGGCTAAAAATATTTCTACTGTAGAACTTCTGAAAATTATACGTTTCAGCTTTTATGAGTTTGATATCTAACAATGAGCTTTATGCAAATAGAGTCGGTAAATTATATTGAACCATAAAATATCTACAACTTTAGTATATTTCATACATTTTAAACTTATCGAATATACTCAAATGTATTATTCACAAACAAAACTATATAACAGCAAAAATAAAAAACTAAGTAAATAAACATCTAATATATAAATATATCAATAATTATAGATGGCTTGTATTTATTCAAATCAAATCAAAATATACTTTATTCAAATAGACTTTTACAAGCACTTTTGAATTGTCAATTTTACATTTTTTAAAATTAAATGTCAGTGTAGTCAGTCCGTAAGGAAGCTACCATCGGCTCGGAAAGCAGTTCTGCTGAGAAGAGCCGGCGAGAAACTCAACAGTTGCCCTTTTAATATAATATATGTTTACAATATTGTAATACAAAATTATCTACTTATCCTACGTGAGACCCAACCAGACGTTAGTTCCACACATTGACATCTACAAAGTATTCCGTGAGGGTATAATAAGCTTTACTCAATAATATATTTTAAATTTTAGACTTTGTTTAAATGACTTTTATGATACATTAACAGGCAGTCAAAAAAGAAAATTGAAACTTTTCATTGTCGAACTTTATTCATTGATTGAATTATCATACCTCGACTACACATAACGAGAATCATTTAAACTTTATTGGCGTCAATTAGCTACTGTCGCAGTGAACTGTCCAATTTGAATAAAGAATTTTGTTTGCTTAAACTGATTTGGCAAATATCCAAGAGCTTTTTCAAAATAGTATGACTTATAATTTGTTTGTTACAATTTCATAATTGGTGTATAGAAAACTAAACTTAAGTAAAAAGTTTGTTCAGGACACTTATTAGAACTTAGAATTAATTACTGCTAATGGAAACATTAATTCATTTACAATATTTATATGCTACTCATTTCTTTTCTATTATTGTTTTATTAGGTCAACGATATCTCCGTGGAAGGTGCCCCACATTCTGTTGCCGTTGACGCATTACAAAAGGCTGGGAATATTGTGAGATTAGTTAGTATTAGATTGTTGTCTTGCTTCCTAATAGGGCCAACCATTATAACATCACTATAAAATGAAATACTTTTTGCTTACTTATATTAATTTAGTCTAAAAGAATAATAGAGTTTATTTAAAATAAAATCCTTAAAATATAACTGTAATTTTAAAAACCTTTTTTTTCTTTTACCAGAGAGTTAGACGAGCCCGCAGACCAATGGTCGTGACACTCAGTCGAGGGGCACGTGGGTTAGGGTTAGGGATAGCTGGAGGCGCGGATGATGCAGCAGGTGGCGAAGGCATTTTTATATCACACATCGCAGTGGGAGGCGCTGCCCATCACGATGGTAGACTTAAACTAGGAGATAAAATTTTAGCTGTTAGAGATTTGAATGTAAGTAATTTTTTGAAGATTATTTTATTTGTACATAACTAACATATTCCTGAAAATTAACATAAAATAATATTATAAGAAATTAATAAATCGTAAATAAATTATTTTATTGAGTGACAACCCTAAGGAAATAGTCATCCGACTTATACTAGATTTTATAGCTCTGTATATTATGGGATCGCTTTACCCGTTTTGAAAACATATTACCTATAAAATTACTCGTACGAATATTACAATACCAGAATATAATTATATCAGAATTCAATATTTTGCTTTGTGCAATACTTTGCAGGACTTACAAATAAGTGTAACAAATAATTATTTCCAATATTAAAAAGTACTGTGATTGAAATAATATTCTGACATTGAATCCTATAATATATTACATAGATGTGAAAATTTGTGAGTGAATAGGCGAGTTTGTACTTATGTGGTTTTATATGATTGCTAGTTTGCTCTCTAAACGGATTCTCTCCTAGTTAATTTTTATATTCATCGTTTCTGCCATAATATGTATTAAAATTGTACTTTTTATAAAACATAATATAATGAAATTTAGAATATATTTAGTGTTCTGGGCTTACTAAAGGATTTTCTTAACTAACGCCTGCAAATTCATACATATTGTTATGTATGATGATGTTCTCCTTACCGATTCCGGCTACGGCGGCCAATCTCTTCGAGATTAGCCAACTGCGTAGGAGATATTATAGTGCACAAGTGTACGCGCAGACACAAGTGCACTCTCTATTCCTGTCACTCTCATACTCTGGTGGGACGACCACCAGACACGAGCAGTGAGAGTTAAGGTGCAGGACCGACGGCTTTCCGTGCTCTCCGAGGCACGGGGGTGAAACACCGCCAACTTCCCAACTCCGAGCTGTTACTGAGGCTTACTATACAGAAAGACTCAATAACTAAACTTGGCCCGACCCGGGACTCGAACCTTCGAGTGTGCAGCCGTACATGCTAGCCACTACACCACCGAGACAGTTAATTTTATGTATATAGTCATGTTAATGGATTGTTCAAATGAGAATTGGGCGTATATTCCATCCAATCGATTAAATCAGTCGAGTGCAATCAGAAGGAAATGTTAGGAATACACGTACCTAGTTCCTATACGTTTTGTTTGTACGTTAATAATTATCGTGGCAGAAGATTTATACGCATGTAGCAGTCTTTCGTAATAAATATATAGCGGAGCTGTTATTGTTACCTGATTTTCTTCTTAACCTTTGGACTAATTAAGTACTAAATATACAATCGACAGAGCTGTATTTGTAAATATAAAGTAACTTATAATGTAATTTTAACTTTGCTGTTATAGTTATTTCAATATGTATGTATAACTAGTAACAGCTATACACACTTGGAAATACTGACCACAGGCTTTTGTTCTAAGGAAAATAAAAATTATTAACATTTAATAATATAAAAATCATTAACAATTAATTTGACTTTGACGTTTTTTTTTAATATTTTCAACATTAAAATCTACGTGATAAATAATAGAGATTCATATTTCGGGCGTATAATGCAATACTGCGCTGTCTATTCTGTATATTTTGATGTTGTTCTATTCTGTATATTTTGATGTTGTTAGGTAGGTTTAGGTACATATATGTATGTTTTTATATATTTTAAATTGATATCTAGGGAATTGAAACACCATTGATAGGAGTTACGCACGCTATGGCTGTGGCGGCATTGCGTAGTACAGGCGACCACGTGACGCTAGTAGTTCTCCCGGCAGCTGGCTCTATTCCACCTGTAGCCCGCACTGCACCATTATACTCCAGTAAGTATTTTAGAAACACGCACCTTAAATAGATTCAGGTTATACGCATTCGGAAACAGACGCATGTAGGTCTTAAGTCCACGATCTCTTCATAGAAACGGATACGATATCGTACAATGTATCCTGAATGATGTCGTACAGGAGCTAAGTTTATTATAACAATTTAATACCAGATAAACAATTTTGTTTTGATGTTTATTTAGCGAATTAATATAAAAACTGTTATTCAAGGTTTTAATTTCTATAATATTTTTACTTATGAGTACTTTACTTTTATGACATAAAGAAGGGCTAGACCCGCAGTACTCAGTGTTAAATTGTACATACAAATTATAATAATTGTTAAAAAAATTCATTAATAATTCATGTGTGTTGACGAATTACATGTGCCTTTCAAACACTAGTTAGGTTCTCAAGATATTTATTTATTTTGTAAGTTGGAAAACAGACAGCATATTATATAAGCATAAAATGCAAAATACATAAGAAATAAAGTTTCCACTTATACACAAATATAGCTGAGTAAACTTACTAACAATAAAATTAAAACAGATATAAATAAAATGTGTAGCTACAAAATAAAAAGAAAGAGAAATTAAAAGAAAGAAAGAAATTAGAAGAAGATAGAAGAGATATGTAGCTTTTTCTCACGTAATCAATATTGTTCTTTATATTATATCAAGTGGTAATTCTGCTGAAAACGGTTTATAGATGCAAATCTTAGAAGTACGAGACATGAGATTTGATACCGCTTTACTTAGTTTCCCAAGTGAGTGTTTTATCACTTGGTTATTATTGTATTTATTTATACGATAATGATTAATGATTGAAAATATCTTTTAATTCTGAACGAACATCAATCAATTTTCAGGCCACACTCGTTAAGTTATTCATTCAAACTTCAGTATGATATGCAAATGTTTACCACATAGTTAAAAAAAACTTATTTTACGCATAAATTTTGTCATGAAAATAACTGATGATGCTTGATGTGATAAATGTCATAATTGAAAACAAAATGAATGTAACCGCCGATTTTAATCGTTCATGTACTGTTGTCGATTAAAAGAACTTATCGATTTCCTTTCAATACATTTTTTTTGTGAGTATTCATTCATACGTAATTTACTATAAACGATGTTTTATAATGTAATACTAATTATTATTTAAAAATATTATATTAAATAGATTATAAACTAATTTACTACAATGTTAACTTATTCTTGTTTATATGTAAAAAATCAATAAGTATGTCGTGCTATTATTAGGCTGGCATTTACTGGGGTGAACAGAAATAATACCAATTGTGCTCAGACCATTTCTGTATCTAAGTACGAGTTATTTTTGTCTAACTGTTTTAAAAAGTAAAATAGTTAAGATAGAATAAAAATAAATTTAGTATAATATTTCTCAGACACAACATAAATAGAAGAATAAAATATTCTATTAAAATTTTATGACGTAAGTTATAGGTACATTGGGAATTAATAGTTGTGGAACTGATTGAAGGTAAATCAGAAATATTTGACTTTTGTAAACTTGCAAGTCTTTTTCCGTTATTATACGAGAATGCATAAAAATTAAATAGAATCATAGTCATAGTATACATAAATAAAAAGTCGAATGCGCGCTCTTTAAAGAACTTAAGTCGTTATGGACTTAATAGAAATAAATAAATTGTACTTTGTAAAATACACAGTAATACCTCTCACAAGAATATAAAGAAATATCGATGTACAATATTATTATTAAAATACACAGTAATACCTCTCACAAGAATATAAAGAAATATCGATGTACAATATTATTTTAAAATCCCATATTATTATAAGCGCATTAAATAATATATATATTTGCAGCAAGAACCCAGGCCACATCGTGCTCGACGCTTCACGACCTTTCAGAAGAGGAGCTCAATAAAATACCAAGGTATTTTTATAATGCAGCTCACGTTTTGTTGCAACGGAATGCATATTGGCACCTATTCAAATATAGATATTTTCAGTTAAAATATCTTATAATATTCCAGTTACAGATAAAATATCATGTACTAATGACATTATTACATTTAAATAAATAAAATATTTTTTTAACAATTTGTAACCAGATAAATTTAACTAAAAAAATATAAATTTACCGAATAATACTAATTAGTTGATCAGTGTTCCCCTGTATATAATATTAGGTTAGTATACATGTAATTTATTAAGCATATGAACAATCTTCATCAATATATCTTCTAATATAAGTGAGCGCAATATAAGTTACGCTGACTGAATATGTCCATAGAATAAATAAATTGAGATGAGGACAAGATGTCTAGACGACGAGTATTTCGTAATCAGCGAAACTGAAAGGAAAGTAAGAAAGCATTTACGTTAACTGCATCATTAAACATTAAGAAAATATACTCGTACTTATTCATAATTCTTGCATCGCTCGGGATCTCCTCTCCCTCAGGAGATAGATTTTTTTAAGGACCTACATTTAGTCTATATAGTCTGTTGTTTTGATGTATCTTATAAGGTTAAACCAGTGTCGTGTATCTAAATTTTTAAGGACGACTCGATAGAACTAGCTTTTGTGTTTTCCCGTGGGAATGAAAGGTTTTCGTATTGTGAAAGGTATCTAAAATGTTGCCCCGAGTATAAGTTATCACGGCACAAATTTTAGTTATTTCGCTAGGCTCAGTACTTTTTGCCGTTAAATACATACAGATATACAGACAAATAAATAAAATTTTCTTTAACTATTTTTAGGCTCTATAGTCTGTACACAATGGCGTACCCATTGTGTACAGAATACGGCACATAAAAGGTCATTATTTTTAAAAAATACTTCATGTACAGATTTCGTTTTGTTACTATTTTAATGTATGTATGTACTAGCTACTCACCCTCGCTTCGCTCAAGTTCGTCTCTAGTGAGAAAACAAATTTATCCCATGGGAACCGTACATTTTTCCGGGATAAAAAGTAACCTATGTGCTATTCCAAAATATAATCTATCTCTGTTCAAAATTTCATCCAGATCCTTTCAGCCATTCTGATAAAATTGAGTAAGAAACATCCATCCATCCAAACATTCGCATTTATATAATAGAAAGATAAGATAGATATTAGATAAGTATTAACATTTTATTTGATTTTAAGTTTTTGACTTTGAGAGAAAGTATCTAAAAATGCAACTCGTTGTAATTTATTGATTTCTATCATTATCTAGATCATTGGGCAAATATCATCATGTCGAAATTTTAATACAGTTTGTGATTTTAGAATTAAAGCAAAATTCCTTTAAAAAAACACTTTCTATTATTCTTGCAATTCCTAATTTTCAGGGCAATTTCTCCAATTTTTTAAAACTAACTTTGCCCCTAATCATATTTTTTTCTATTTCTAAAAACTATTGTCAGCCATTTTTTCCTCACTAATGACGCGCATACAACAAACAGCATTTCATTTTTTTATGTAGATTTTTTGCATTCAATATTAGTTCCGTTTTTGTTGTTTGGTTAACAATTGAATCGTTATAATGTCATAATTGGATGCAAGAGATGCTAGCACTAATGATTGTCTTAATGTGTGTTGTGGAAATGGTTCAATTAATACATTTTGGTCATGCAGATGTGTACGCATGGTGCGCCTAGTGCGAACGGGCTCGAGGCTAGGGATGGATATCGTTGGGGGGTTGGGAGGTGAGGTGGAAGGGAGCAACGGGGTAGAAGATACTTGTGGGGTGTTCGTATCTGGCGTGTCAACTGAAGGGGCAGCATATGGATTGTTACACAGGGGTGACAGAATACTCAGTGTGGATGGAAGAGATCTCGCCCGAGCGACACATGAACAAGCTGCGGCGGCTTTAAAGGTAAATCGTTTTTTTTTTGCATGTACACATATTTGTACCAACTCGTTTATTATATTTATTAGCCTTTATAAAAAATTGAAAGTATTTTCAGATACAATTTGAATGAAACTTTAAATTTATTACCTTTATACTTTATTTATTAACAAACCATAATATAGAGCATCGTTAAAGGAAATTTATTCAGGATTTTATTTAAAATCTATATATAATTTTTGGGGAGACACAGATAAAAATTAAACGCTAGGTTCAACGCTATCTGCTGCGGTTTTTCATTTGCTGCCTTTTGATTGACATAGTACGTTGATTGAAAATGCAAATAATATTAAAAAAATCTAGGTGCTACTCAATGCGCTAATATTGATTACATTTACTTTTTTTATATTTTATAATTTTAATATTGCGTAATAGGTTTAATAATAGTATAATCTCTGCCGTCTCTATATATATATATATATATATATATATATATATATATATATATATATATATATATATATATATATATATATATGTATTACTTTTTTTATAAAACAGCCACAGATATAAAAATGAAACAAAAAGACCGACCAAGGGATGTGATTTTTTTATTTTTAAACTAAACCGGTAATACAAACCAGCGTCAAGCTTTGTGTGAAAATGGTGCAAACTAAGGGAAAGCAAAAAAACAACGAAAATTGGCCCAATTCGAGATACTCGTAGGCTTTACTTCATTTTTTTTCTCTTTTTACTAGGCAAAGTACAATGAAATTATTTTATACCTACTTCTTATATACAAAACAGACGTAGGTACGTACTCTAAATTATAACATCTGTTGGCTTGGTATGTGAGTATATAGTTTTAAATCATTATTATATTCATTTATTATTCTTTTAGTTTGGCGTGTTAATTGAGCAAAATTTTCTTTACTTATTTCAATATTGCCATATATTCCTAATTCTTTGTGGAAAAGAACAAAATAACATTAAAAATTGTAATATCTCGTTTTTCGTAACCACAAGTCGGGGCAATATAAGTGGGTGGTGCAATATGTAGCTAAGTTAACCATCTATATAACCAATTCAAACTAACGAGCAATTTTTAACATAATTTAGTAAAATAAATATCCTTTCTATTTCACTGTGTTTGTATAAAATAAAACTAATCCTATGAAAATCATAGAACACAATATTTTATTTATTTCATTTTAATATTGCGTATTTATACAGTTAACGGCCACTTTTATGTATTTTTAAGTAATATAAGCGATAATTGTTTTAGATTAAAGCTACATAATATATTTGTTATAATATGTATGTATTTAAAGTTATATGTATATGTGTATTTAAAGTAATACAGAGGCCGAATCTACAGTTTTTAGAATTTTTGTCTGTCTGTTTTCCGCATCACGGGAAAACCACTGGATAGATTTTGATGAAGTTTGGTTTGGTGATAGCTAGGTTATCCGAGTCAACATATAGGATACTTAATGCGGTAAACCGCAGGAAAATGTCTCATTTCTGAGAAAAAATACAAAAATTGCAATATAAGAGTATACTAATATGTAAAACCTAAGAATTTGGTTTTTTGTTATCTGAACGCGGGCGGACCCGCAGGCAATGCTAGTCTATACATATAATAAATATATTCTAGTTATGTACGCTAACACAATAACGTTAACTTGTAAATAATTTGTTAAGAATAAAAGTATGACCACCAGAAATGGCGTATTCTATTTATGTTAATACTTTTTTAATAGTATTCTGGCGGCGCTGTGACAATAGCTGCCCAGTACCAGCCTGAGCTCTACGAACGTCTACGAGCTAGGATTCGAGCGATAAATGCGGCGGCAATGTCTCCTCACACTCATGCACGCATATCTACTCACATACCCGTTCGTCCTGACGTCCATGCCATATATCCAAGGTAAGGAAATCTATACGTATAATAAAATTCTAACTAAACCGAATCTGTACATTTAATTAAGTTAATTTTTTTTGGAATCTTATTGAAATGGACATTATTATCGATACAGAGGCCGAATCTATAGTTTTTAGAATTTGTATCTGTCTGTCTGTTACCACATCACAGAAAAACCGCTGGAGGAAGTTTGATGGAATTTGGTATATATATAGCTGATTATTCGGGTCAACATATACGATACTTTATCGCGGGAAAATATCTCATTTCAGAGAAAAGATACAAAAACTGCCATGTAAGAGTATACTAATATGTAAAACCTAAGAAATTGGTTTTTGGTCATCTGAACGTGGGCGGGGCCGCGGGCAATGTCTATACATAAAGTAATACCACTCCTGATTAAACAAGAAACCTCAGAATGTATGAATACTATAAAATTGAAATTTGATAGGTTCCTTATAGGTAGGAGGTATCTGTTAAGATAGAATTATGGAAATTCAACGCCTTAAGAGATAAAAAAGGTCTCGGAAGTTTGTATGGAAATCCGCTATTTTTAAAGTACACGAGAACAGCTGCGAGCGATTATAAGAATACTCGTAATTCTATGTTGCATTTATTCATTTTTTTAATAATTTATGCTAATTTACTAAGGAAGGCCTTCAAATATCTCTATATTATAATCTTTTATTAGATTATATAAAATTTCTAAGACTAAATAAATAATACTTTAAATATTTTTGACTAGCGGCTCATCCTGGCTTCGCTCGGGTTCGCCTCTAGGAAAACAAAAATAAACCTATCACACGGGAATCATACATTTTTTCGGGATAAAAAGTAGCCTATGTATTATTCCAGACTTATTATTAGTAGATCTATCTCTGTGCCAAATTTCATCTAGATCCGTTTAGCCGTTCTGGTGTGAAAGAGTAACAAACATCCATACTTTGCTGTGCCAGCGCTCGCGGGTTCGAGTCCCGCTGGGGGCATTTATTTGTGTGATGAGCACGGATCTTTGTTTTCCAGTCATGGGTGTTTACATTTATAATATGTATGTATTTAAAGTTAATATGTGTAGTGTTCAACTATCTAGTATCCATAACACAAGCCTCGTAGCTTACCATGGAACTAGATGGTGCTGTGTGCTAATGTCTCAACATATTTATCTATTTATTTATACTCACAAACTTTCACATTTATTATATTAGTATAGAAGTATAGATTAAGAAATATTTAACATATTATTTATTTACTCTATTGTGTGTACTTAATTAATAATTGATTCAATTCTTTAAATAGATAATTTCAAAATTGATGTCTAATCTGCCTTTTTTTGTTATAATATAAAGACAATGCTTCTGAAAAATATATAATTAAATTTTGTTACAGGTAGCAGTGATCCAGCTGTGAAATAGAGTATTCTAACAGATAAGAGTGTAGATAGTGAATACAAAATATGAATTTCTCATAAAATAGCAGTTTCTATTTCACAGCATTTGTATAAAATAAAACTTTTGCTATGAAAATCATAAAACTCAATATTTTATTTATTTCATTTGAATTTGTTTTTGTAAAGCTAAGGATTCTTGTGTAATAATAATATAATTGTTTATTATTATAATATTATTGTTGTTTTCTTATTAATGTGGTAAATATGTATTTATGTAATATTATAATTGTGTAAGTAACACATGACCATTTATGGTACAGTCGTGTACCTACTAGTGAGCTTTCTTCGTATTTTATTGAATTAATCGGAGGTCGAAAATAAGTTACAATTAGTTAGAAATAACTATAAAATTGTATATAGATATAACAACAAAGTTAATTTTATTCCTTTAATTAACTTTTTAACTTTTTTTGGGAACATAGAAACACAATTCAAAAAAAAAACATTTGTACATAATATGACAGATTGATACGTATTTTAATTGGTCATATAAAGTTTATTGTCTTTTATTGGCAGTGTTATAAAGTAAAAATTTAAGGTCTCAAACATTCATACTTTTCGATCTATCTTAATATTTTTTTATTGTAATCATTGAAATTCCTTCTCTAAAAAAACGTGAAGCACTTAAACTCTTCCGCTTATAAAGCTGTTAAAATAACTTCGCCTGTTATTTTGGTATCTTAATCATTTCAGGATGAAAAAGTTAAGGTATAGAAAAAACCGACAAGTACGAGTCTGATTTTTAAACAGCGGGTACTATACAACAAATAAACATTAAAATCTTGAATTCTAAATTACCTGATTTATTAAGTTAAAAAAATATATATTTACATAAAACGTACATAGATTCATTTTATTATTAATAACAAAATTTTCTGTTTCATACTATTTCTTAAAGATATTAAGAAAAATAAATAATTTTGCGGCCACTAAACTTATAAAGCGTGGTAAATATCATTCGACATACTGAAACAATTTCAAATCATATTTTATGGTATTAAAAACCACACACATATATTCAAAGTTACGTTAAGTTGATGACAGAGTATTTAGGTTTTTATTCCCTATAACGTACTCATGACTCACTCTTTAGTTTTTGTTTTTCTATTAAAGAACCCTATAAACGTAATTTTAAAAATGTTCGATGAAAACACGATAAAATATATTTTTTTTATATAGATAAAACAAAAACGCTATTTCTTTTTTAACATATTATAGTAGGTATGATATGTACTTACGCATTTAAAATAAATTGGTGGAATTATTATTCAATTTCAAGTCTATTAGAAATTCAATAATTATATAACGTAGTTAAAACATATCTTTTTGTATGTAAATATAACTTAAAGAATGTTTGAGTGAATGGTAAAAATTACCTAAAATTGTAATATTTTACTGGACCAACTATGAGTATTTCATTTTTTTTTTTAAATTACTGTCATGGAAAATAAGTTTTAGTGTTTTTCTGCGAACTGTATGGCCACCATATTTAAATTCCCCATTACTTAATTAAATAAATAAACTTTTCCAAATATTGCCCGCAAGAATTTGATTAAATAATATGTAATATATAACAATTATGTGTATCATTGACTCGATGTAAAAATAAAGTTTTTGAACTGTGATACTAAAAATAAATATAATAATTATTATTGACATCGTGAAAGTTAAATATACATGAGTATTAATAAATGGCATTTTGAATTCAAAACCCTCTCGTCGCTCCTTTGTATAGTTTCTATTTTCCTTCAATCTTAGTACCTCTAAGCCAAATTCATATAAGTACATATATTGCTTAATCTATTATATGGTATAAGGGAATATGTATACGATGACTTTTTAACGCACTGTCGTCTAATCGTCATATCAGCTATGTGTTCTTAAATCCGAGTTCTAATGGATCTCTTTGCTTGTCCAATGTAGGAAAGCCCACAATAACAATCACTTCTTTTCACCAGTCAAGTGCCACATCCCTCTCCAAGATGCAGGGATATACAAACTTGATTAACATTGACATATAAAACAATAATATGGCTTAAATAAATAATAATTATTTTTATTTTTTTAATTTCTTTGTGATTATACATATTATAGTAATGGCAACACTAAATAATATTATTAATAGAGTTTTTTAGAAAATTGTAATATTTATAATAAAAACAACTTAAATTAAATAAATAATAGATATTACTGTATTTAATTATAATACTTATTAAAAAAATGTTCAGAATTAAAATCAATAAGTACATAGTCTTAAAATCAATGCAAAGTAAATAATGGCATAATAAATAAAATAAATTACTCCCTATCCCTCTCTCTTTCACCCTCGTTCTATTTAGCACATATGAAGCAGGTTTTGATATTTAATTAAATATGTATATCAAAACAGAAGTATAATATAATTATAACATAATTATAACAGGAAATCACCATTGTGAGGTGCACCAGCCACTATCACTGAAATCGAGTCCTAGCTTTCTAATTTTATCTGGAGTAGATATTGATATATCACGCCATCAATCATTGGTTAAAGCAAGCAAATTGATAGAGGACTTTAGTGTGACCAAGCACACATACGAGTACGTATGACTATATCTATTAGGTTGTGAGAACTTTGACTCTTTAATATCAAGTGATCGATGACACAGGACGTGTATTTTACTTCAAACAGCACTTAAGCAAAAAAAATGAAGAGGCAAAAAAAATTGTAGATATTACTTTATTATAGCAAAAATTGACGTAGTATATTTACAGAGGGACATGTACATTGTACACTTCTTACCGGTATTATTAATTACTAAGCGACCACAAGCAGATTTAATTATATTTGAATAATGTGTTTTAATCTAGTTAAAAACGTGATAAATCGTGATATTGAAAATCACCGAAGAAATATAGTCAATATTAATTGAAGATGATAAAAGGGTCAGTGAGATACTACTAAATTTTATTCGTCCACTTCGCAAGTAAACGACTGTGAAGCTGCAATGCACCACATAAAACATCACCACGACAAGCCACGAAACTAGGTTTAATTTTAAATAAAACTATCTTTTAGGAATTTTTCGCGGAATTATTTTGTTTTTTGGTTTCCGACGTTTCGAATGCTTTATAGCAATCATGATCACGGGAAAGACTCTCTCGTGTCTTATTTAGAATGTAAAATATTTGTGTAAATCTAAGAAAGTTCATTTAACGAATATGGTATAATAAGCATAAGCTATATACGAGTATGATATCTCCATAAAACTCATTTAAACACTGTTTATCTTATATATTAAAAACATGAAAATTTTTGTATGAGTGTATAAGTGTATAATGTATATGCTTTATCTTTACGATGGGTTAACGGAATTATTGAGTGAAATTCAGATGCCTCTTGTTCTGGATTAACTTATAGGATATGCTTATCGCCGCACCTACCATGCGAGCGACGGGCAAAATTCAGGGCCGGATCAAGGGGACCGGAACTGCGGCCTTAGTTCTCACATATGAAGGGCAACAAAAATATGTAGATAATACGTTTGCTAGATCCGAAATTTGGTTAACTAAAAAAGAAAGTGCAATGTATGATTATGTTTATCCTCTAAATTAACTTTAATTTGTAAATAAATATAAAAAATTAAATAAATATGTTAATGAATAGAAATATGAAAAAGGTCAACCAAACATACATATAGGGCCTTTTTCCTTGTTTGTCATCTTACGGCTAAACTGAATATCAATTACCTTTAGCTATATAATATGTAAAGAAGCTTACTTAAAGGAAAGCTTTTAAGAAGTTAAACTTTGATTTCGTAAAAATGTTTTAAAGTAAAACTAGAAAAGAAAACAATAAGGTAAATCGCATCTCTGCATAATTCCTAATTTACTAATTGACCGGCCGCCACTGTAGCACAACACTTGTCGCTTTATATGTATGCGGATTGAGGAAAGTGTTAAGCGTATGTGAGAGGAAAAAGTGCAATTTTGCATGTAAAGATTCATTTATAAGTAGGTAAGTGTTTCGTTTTTAAGTAAAATTTTATTCATAAAACTTCTTTATTATATGAAGTTTTTTTAATATGTGTATACATTTCAGTACTGTATATAATAAATATTCAGATGTTAAATTAAACTATTCTCTATCTGTCTGTCTTGTTTTTCTTTAAATATTCTTGTTTTCATAAAAAAATAAACGTACCATTTTCTATATTTCTAAAATGATATTGATAATAATTTTTACCTAAGATTTCTTTTATAGCATTCCACAAATACCTTTATTCTAACACTAGCGACTCACCCACGCTTCGCTTGCGTTCGTCTCTAAGTTGATACCCCATACAAAGTTTCATCTCTATTTTCACCTCGTTTAAGGGACGATTTCCGGGATACATATATAAAAATATCCTACGTCCTTTCCAGGGTCTCAAACTATCTTACCAAATTTTATCTAAATCGGTTCAGTAGATCCAAAGATTACCCCCTACAACCTTACAAACTCACAAACTATACCTTTTTGTAATATTAGTATAGATTAACTTCATTGGATCGATCAAATTGCATTTTAATTAAAATAAAAATATATAATTATTTAATATTTATAGTTTATATAATAATTTTTATATAATTTTATATAATTATTAATAGTAGTAGAATGTAAAACGTCTTTACGCCAAACTCTCACATCTGAGCTATTCAATGCATTTCTTTTGTTCAGTGGCTTCTAAAAGTGCATTTGGGCACAATTTACATCGCCAATATCACATAAGGAGAATACACGTTGTATATAAAATGACCGGTAAAAAAGAGAAAAACACCTGAACTATGCTTAAGACTTGATCCCAAGACAGATATCAACTTATGACAATCAACGTCAAGAATAGTTATTTTCAATAGCCATATATGACAGAGTGATAAAAACTTTCCAGAAAGGAATTGATTTACAAAAATGTCGAACT